AGAGAGAGAGAGAGAGAGAGAGAGAGAGAGAGAGAGAGAGAGAGAGAGAGAGAGAGAAGAGAGGAAGAGAGGCATCCGTTGAACTTATCCTTCTGCTCGTATAGTTCGTACGGAACACTGGGCCAGAGCCAATCAGTGAAAGGCGCAACGTGTCATTGACATATGTATGCATGTATAATACGAGTCCACGGGGGATGTCTTGCATAGTTATCAACAATTTCCACTGTATCCACCGTCCGCTATTCACCTTTCGGTTCAGAACGAAACGGTAAGGGTCGTATAACACATCCTGTTTCGTACGCGACATCAATCCTGCGAATAAACCGTTCGAATCATTATGAACTAAAAAACTATTAATAGCGACTAATAGCGTCACGTCTAAGGCACCATCAGCTAGACAAGTTTCACCGACGAGAGCGAAGGGGATCGACCAACGCATTACAAGTACGAGGTACTATCGTCTTTTCTAACAAAGACATTACGGACACTTTTCGAAGTAAGATTTTGAACTTTGACGAAATTCGTATATCTTATTTTTATTATATAGCATCACTTTTGCGATTAATATTTTTTAGTTCCTTCGTGAAAAGTCGTGTCACCCATTTCTGGGTAACGTGGCGACCAACGCGTTAAGTGTCCAACGAGACTGTTGAAAACAGAAAGCAGAAACAAATTTCAAGGAGGGATTTCGTTTTCTAACGCGAGATGAGAGATGCGAGCCAAACAAAGTAACACGCCCGAGCAACCTGGCGCGGATAATCGGAATGACGAAACAACGACCGGTTTTCTTCGACAGAGGATACAGTTTGAGAGCGCATCCGAGTCAAATTATCCCATCCTCTCTCTTCTCCTTCATGGCGACGAGAAGCCACGCAAAATCGCATCTTGCTACCGATTAATAAAACCAGGGACAGAAGATACTTCCTACGGGCGGTGAATCGATACCGATCGATATCCGTCGATGCCCCTTCGTTATTTTCGGTATCTCCTTCGAATGTCGCTTGCCAAATGTCGCGAAATCGCTTCTCCAAGCAAGAGTCTGCAATTAAACTAACTTAAAGGAAGTTCGGTTATTGATACACGGCGAAAAAAAATTGGAATTTTTTAAGGAATAAGATTCGTGTGAAATTTGATCGTTTGGCTTTCCAAACGATTTCAACAAATTCGACGCTTTAGAAGATTTTCCCGTTCACGAATCAATCGATAATAATTATTTTAACTGTAAGGTTTTGGAATTGTCGAGTATATTCGCTCGTCGCCATTTTGTTAAACAAAAATAAGAAAATTTCATTTTTAACTACACGTCTGATCCAGTCGTAGGCTATTAACGCGTGACTCTCAATACGCTACGGTCTAGATTAGGTCTGCGATGATAGATTAGCGTGCGAGTTGGTCCTTGATTAAGCTAACTGTAATGCTGGGGAAACGTTAGAGCATTTTATTTAAAGGACACAACTTACACCCGGAAGCTTCGGTTGGTATCAACCATGGATCTTTTTATTGTTTCTTTTATTACATCTCGGCGTTTAGTTACCGTTAGTGCTTTTGGTCGTCCTGATAGCGGTTTACTTTACGTAGAACCAGTCTCTTCGGACTTTTTTACAACATATCTCACAGTCGAGAAACTCAAACGCAACCTTTTACCAATTTTTCGAAAATAATTTCGTAATAATAATCTGCTTTTTAAAAAATAGACGATCGCTCGCGTTACTTATACTTTCAGCGCGTTACCCTGCCCGATTTTCTACTAGAGTATCTACTTTATCTAGCTAACGTCCTACTTTCTTCTCGAGTCTCTAAATTTTTCAACACTTATCCGTTCCATGATTCTCGGGTGTCGAGTGACGAAGAAATATCTAATCGTTCCACTAGTCCGTAATTGTCGTATCAGCGTCGACGATAAATTAGTGCGTGAAATGTTTACTTTCACAGGTTCGACGATGATAACTACTCCACGCCGTCTAATCGAGTTTAATTGACAATTCCAGACACAACGAAACATTTGAAATACAGGAACTCTGACTAAACGCTAGCTGTAATTAATCCCGTATTTACACGGTGAGTAACGACGGTCGACGTTGAACGTAACTTTCGAACCAATTAGAGCAGGTAGTACGTAAACAGTAGCTATCAACCTAATTGTTAAAGTAAAGAAGTTTCAAGAAATGACCGAGAACGATAGTAGTGCCGAGTTAGGTTAGGTATTTCCTGTGTTGCCAAACAGAACGCTGTTGTCCGAATATTAGGGATGTTCGATTTCGATTCGATTCTTTAGAAAATCGATTCTTTCGGTAAAAATATCGATTTTTTGAATCGGTTCTTTGGAATTCGATTTTCCCCAGAATCGATTCTTTCACGTAAGAATCGAACATCCCTATCGAATATTTACCTAATCGACTTTTATGTACGAAGGGAGGTTATGTTTCGTAACGTCGGTCGAATGATCGATGTATTCGACACTTTTCGGACGGCTTCGCGAGGTGTCGTATCGCGTTGCCTTTTGTTTAGATGCAAACAGCATGGCAGGATCGCATTCGAGTCTTCTTACACGATCAATTCCCCCCACTCTACGATTCGTGTTTGAATTTGACTTTTTATGTCATATTCATTTCAAGTTTGATAATATTATTTATTTGGCAGACGGACAATGACCTTTCTTTGGGGCGTTTGACCTTCGATCCCGAAGCTTGTTTACATTCCGTGATACATACTAAGATATACTAAGAAAGACCCGCAAAAATGTTGAAATGTGAAATTACTGCAAATTGGTGCAAAAAATCACTGTAACTTGATAAAAAAGTTGTTTAAAATTTTTGTTGTATGAATTTTCTTAGTTCACATAGAAGTCAAATGTATGAAAATGAAAATTTATTTTGTTTTTTTTTTCTGCCAAACCAAAATTACGACCTGCACCTTTCCCGCCGACAGGAGGTTTTAATCGTGAAGTGCCCTACAAATGTGCGTGTCACAGTCGACTCGATTCGAATATTTCTTGTTGAAAAAATCTGTACAGACTACTCGAATATGTATAGAAAATAAGATAAAAAGTTCGAAGGATTAATTATTTTTGTCCAGTCTAAAAAGATTCACGGAAAACAGCTTTTTTTAGACCTCCTAATTCAGGATACCCCTTTAACACGTTGATCGCCGTGTCACCCATATATGAACCGTGTCATATATGGGTGACAGTGTTTTTTACTCAAGAAGACAGAAGAAAGTTTGTTTCGAAAGGGTTCTCACCTTGCCGAGGAATTGGCCTTTGTGATAAGCGTTTCCCTGAACCGGATCGACGACGTAATCCGACTCTTGGTCCGTGGAATGGTTGCAAGAGGACGTGGACGGTCGTGCGGTGATCACGCTGGTCGTCCTTATCAGGGAGGACGCGGTGTTACCGGAGTGACTTCCGATCGGCGAAGAAGTAACGTTACTCGCGGTGCTGGTGGTGGTGGCGGTGGCAACGTTCGCGAGGTTCGTCGCGGAGGATGGATCTTGAACGTTGGCGCATCCTCTGGGGGAAGTTTGCGCGTTCCCGCAAGACGGGTAGACGAGCGTGGAGGTGCGTGTGGTGGTGCAGGTCTCTTCGTCGTCGCGGAAAGCGACCGCACCGTTCTCCTTGGGCACGTCGACGAGACAGCCGCGATGCGACGAGTACGAGGAGAGATCCACTTCCAAGGGCAACGAGGACGCACCGGGTTTTCGACTTCGCCTGCAGATCAGACTCTGCAGAGAGGCGGAACTCTTGGAGAAGCTGTGCCTCGGGCAATTGTTGACGCGCCTGCCGCTACCAGCTGATTCGATCGTCTTTTTCGTGCAGTCGGTCTCGGGAGTGGTTTTGGTGGTCTCGTTGGGTTCCTCGGTGCATCGAGCAACGACCCCCGTCTCGAAGAAACGGCAGGCTGTTTCGGTATGCGAGTCGCCGGCCATCGGCTCCAGGAGGAAACTCTTGCCGCTCGTTTCGTACTCTCTCGGTGGCGAGGAACTCCCGACTCGCGCCTCGACCACGTTCGAAGCTATCATCTCTAGTTCTAGCTTCATTTGATCGCGCGACGAGATTCTTTCTTCGCGGAAAGATACCTATTACTACTACTTCTAGTACTCTTCCTTCTTCCCACAAATCGATTATTTAGCGCACCCTAAAAGGTAACGTCGATTCTCGTCTCGTTCCCTTCCTTCTTTGCTTCTCGTTTCTCCACCAGCGGAGAATGGTTTACACGCTAAGATTCTGCGATCCGTCGTTCCGCGGGATGACATGTTCCGCTCGATTTCGGCATTCAATGCGGACGACGCCTGCTCCTCGACATCCACGACCACGACACACGCGTACACTCCGGATATCGCTCGATAACGGCGTGTTCGCGACAAAAAAAAACGCACTGCGACCGGACTTGCCGTTTCACTTGGCAACCGAGGCTCTCTTAGAATTCGACCAAATCGCGAAAAAGCGTACGGAAACGCGTGCAAGCGCGCGACACTGCCGCTGGAGCGAAACGCATGCGCTCTCCTTATCACGGATGGACCACCGCCCACACTCAAACCCCAAACGCTGCGCAGGTCGAATCGCTACTGGCAGCGGTGATGAACAGTCGTGGGACTTTTCCTTCGAGGAATTCCTTTCTGCGCATGCGTAAGCTGACGTCACAGCTACATGTCGTCTGCTACCATACATGTATCAGAACCGTCAGAGGAGGTGCATTTAAGGGATCTGTGCAATTTCCCCGCGTTTTTAACGGACAAATTGAGTACGAGAGTGTTAGTGTTCGTGAGTGTAATATTAGAGAAAATTTAAAAAAAATGGATAATGAACCGCAGGCGTCCAAGTCAAGAATCATCGAGGAAAAGGACATTATATTTTGTTCCTTACTGGGATCCCATGGTACCCTAAATTCTAAGTAAGTGTATACAGCAGTGAGGACTGCAACCCTCGGTTCGGCTCGATTCGTCTCGACTCG